TCAGAAAATAAAAGGAAGTAAATTTCAGAATATAATGTGGGGTAGAAAAACACCATCAGTTCATCAATTCTCACAGGGATCCAGGAAAACTGCCCTGCCTACCCACAGACCAAATGTTTCAAAACACATTTTTTGATTAAATTCAGAAGATTACAGGACTCAGCACTCTGGGTGTTCAAATGCCAAATTAAGTTTCAGTTTCCACTACGGGCAGATGTAGCCAATCACTCAGATCATGAGAAAAACTTTTCCATAAGAAGGAACATGAAATAGTCACATAGAATAACTGTGCTTAGTGCTCAAAGTGAACCCCAGGATAAGCACCCAGAAAACCTGTTAGGTCTTGGGGCCAGCACAGTGGTGTAGCATGTAAAAATTTATTTATTTATTTAAAAGGCAGAGTTACAGAGAGGCAGGGCACAGAGAGAAGTCTTTCATGCACTGATTCACTCCCCAAATGGCTGCAATGGCCAGAGCTGGATCTATCAGAAGCCAGGAGCCAGAAGCTTCTGTCAGATCTCCCATGCGGTGCAGAACCCAAGAACTTGGGCCATCTTCCACTGCTTTCCCAGGCCACGGCAGGAAGCTAGATCTCAAACAAGCACCCATATGGGATGCCAGCACTGCAGGTGGCAGCCTCACCTGCCATGCCACAGTGCCAGCCCTCAAAATAAACCTATTTTAAAAAACATTTTAACTGAGAGATGGGAGAGAATTTGTTTATCCAAAGCAAGGATAACATGACATAACTACTACACAGAAGAAGCTCCTGGCTCCTGGTTTTGGATCGGCACAGCTCCAACCACTGTAGCCAATTGGGAAGTGAGCCAGCAGATGAAGACTTATCTCTCTCTGCCTCTCCTCTCTGTAACTCTGACTTTCAAGTAAAATAAATAAATCTTAAAAAAAATAAGATAACTACTAGTACTCATTAACTTAAAAAATATAGAAATTTAATGAAATTCAAAATATAACCAAAATCATCATCTACTACACATTATAATCTTTATTTTGAGAGTTATATTAGAAAAAATTTAACCCCTCCCCCTCTTTAAAAAATGCACATGGGACTGGTGTAGTAGGTTAAGCAGACCCTGGCAGTGCCAGCACCCCACATGGGCACTGGTTCAAGACCTGGCTGCTTCATTTCCAATATAGCTCCCTACTAATTCACCTGGGAAAGCAAAGGATGATGGTCCAAGTGTTTGGGCCCCTGAAATCAAGTGTGAGAACCAGAAGAAGCTCCTAGCTCCTGGGTTCACCTAGCCCAGCCCAAGTCATTGTGGCCATTTGGGGAGTGAACCAATGGATGTAAGACCTCTCTGTGTCTCTCCTTCTCTCTGTAAATCTGCCTTTCAAGTAAATAAAATGCATTAAAAAAAACCCTATACAATGTAGTATTTTGGTTATTCCCTCATACAAGGAAAGCTCAGATAAACTGTAGAGGAATCCTCCTGGCTTGATGCAATTCAGAAGGAGGATTGCTTCTGCCACCCTATGCTAGACATCAATGAGAGTCATTAATGGGAAGATGAATGGACACATCAGACTGCTTCCTCACATGGCACCTTTTCTTAAAGACATCACTGCTGCATTACCAGATTATGTCTCTCATGTGAAATATGTCTCTCCTAAAAATTTTAAAGAACTTGCCAGACACCTTTCTCTGAAGGGAGGAAGGAACCTCCACTGTGATATGGCCTTGACCAAACAAATTCAGAGTTGGTGAACTCAAGGGGCTTCCATAGCCTAGACAGCTCATAGCAAGAGTCTCGGGTGATTGCTGACGTCATAAATAAGAGTGCCAATTGTTAAATCAACAACGGGAGTCACTGGGTTCATGCTCCCCTCGCAGGATCTCTGTCCTTAATATGTTTATCTATGAAACTCAAAAACAACACTACTAGTCGAACAATACCCTATACCTGGTTCGGTTGTGTGAGTGCAACCTGTTGAAATCCCTGCTTAGTATATACTAAATTGATCTTCGGTATATGAAGGTAACCGAAAATGAAACGTGATGAAGGGGGGGGAGGGGAGAGGAAGTGGGTGAGGGGAGGGCCACGGGAGGGAGGGAGGTCGGGGGGAAGCCACAACAATGCAAAAGATGCATTTTATATTCTACTTAAACTATTGGTTGAGCTCTGTAATTAATACACAATTACTCTTAGGTGTTTAATTAATGCTATAACTAGTACTCAAATAGTATTTTACACTTTATGTTTCTGTGTGGGAGCAAAATGTGGTAATCTTTACTTAACATACGCTAAATTGATCTTCTGTGTATAAAGATAATTGAAAATTAATTGTGATGTGAAGGGGAAGGGAGAGGGAGTGGGAGAGGGGAGCGTTGTGGATGGGAGGGAAGACACGGCGGGGGGAGGAGGCTATTGTGGTCCATAAGCTGTACTTTGGAAATTTATGCTCATTAAATAAATTAAAAGAAAAAAAAAAGAACTTGACAGAAACTTATTGCAGAGCAGGGAATGATGTGCCAAGGACAGTGAGTTAGCCTGAGTAGTCCAGCAATCCTGTTCTTGGCTGTTTTCAAGTTCGTATTAATGTACACACAACATAGTTGCTGAGAAAGTGTCTTACAGTTGTTTCCTGGGTGTGAAGCAGCTCTTCTCAGCAGAAACACATCACTGCTTGTCCACTCACAAGCACTGTGATAGGGAGTACATGGGAGAAAAGGTCAAAACACACTGGGTTTGAGAGGAAGAATGCTGTCACCCTAGCAACCTCTATCCAGGATTCCCTTTCTATTCTTACTTCCTAGGTAACCTTACTATGCTAAATGAGTTTCACAGATTAGTAATCTGGTGACAACAGAACTCTAACAGAATCTATGAATCACTCAGTTAATCAAGTGAAAACTTCATTACACTGAAAGTTAGTCTATAGCAATAGTTTTCAGGGCCACATTTCTCGTTTTTTAAAAGATGTTTTATTTATTTATTTGAGAGGTAGAATTACAGTGAGATGGGTAGACAGACAGAAAGGTCTTCCTTCTGCTGGTTCACTCCCCAGTTGGTCAAAATGGCCAGAAGAGCTGCACTGTTCTAAAGCCAGGAGCCAGGAGCTTCTTCTGGGTCTCCCACATGGGTGCAGAGGCCCAAGCACTTGGGCCATCTTCTACTGCCTTCCCAGGCCATAGCAGAGAGCTGGATCAGAGGAGCAGCTGGGACTCGAACTGGTTCCCATATGGGATGCTGGCACCACAGGCAGAGGATTAACCTACTGAGCCACAGTGCCAGCCCAAAGCCACATCTTTTACCGTACTGTGTGGGCATCTCTGTGGGGGAGAGGGGCACATTTTCTCTTTTCTTCCTTACCCGTCTTCACATTAACACCTTGTACAAAGTCTTCCACAGACCAGTCATTTTGAAAATCTATCACTAATATCCTCCCATGTTGAAAATGTCATGGGGTTAAACACAGAACCCAGAATAAGAAAAGTAACTTGAAGCTGGTGTTGTGGCTGAGAGGGTAAAACCATATGGGTGCTGGTTCCAGACCTGGCTGCTCCACTTCTGATCCAGCTCTCTGCTGTGGCCTGGGAAAGCAGTGGAAGATGGCCCAAGTGCTTGGTCCCCTGTACCTGTGTGGGAGACCTGGAAGAAGGTTCTGGCTTCTGGCTTCAGATCCATGCAGTTCTCACCATTGTGACCATCTGGGGAGTAAGCCAGCAGATGGGAGCTCTCTCTCTCTCTATGTGTGTGTGTCTTTGCCTCTCTGTAACTCTGCCTTTAAAATAAATAAATAATTTTTTTTTTTAAAGTAACTGGCCGGCGCTGTGGCTCACTTGGTTAATCCTCTGCCTGAAGCGCCGGCATCCCATATGCACACCGGATTCTGTCCCATTTGCTCCTCTTCCAGTCCAGTTCTCTACTGTGGCCCAAGTGCTTGGGCCCCTGCACCTATGTGGGAGACCAGGAGGAAGCACCTGGCTCCTGGCTTCAGATCAGCACAGTGCACCAGCCATAGTGGCCATTTGGGGGGTGACCATCAGAAGGAAGACCTTCCTCTCTAACTCTTCCTGTCAAATTAAAAAAAAAAAGTAACTGGCCCCCTTAATTAAAACCGTATGGACTGTAAGATAATCAGCTTGGTGGAGCATTGAGTGACTGTAAAGAACTAGACAAGAAAAATTGATACTTTTCTGTATTTATGTTTTTGTAGCTCTCCACTATGAAAATCCAGCTTGAAGTAGCTCATTATTAACTCACACGGTAGACTTGCATTAATTTCAGTTCACTTCTCACTTTGCAAAGGGATTAGCAGCAGGTAATAAAAGTTCACATCCCTAATAACATGAGAAGAAAGAAGGGTTGAAGACAGAAATCGAAAAGCAGGAAAATAAATCAGCTAGGTTTCCATGGCCTCAAGCTCCAGATTGAAAAAGAGTCTGTTAATTAAACACGGAGGAGCAATCAATCCACAAAGCTACTGCACAAGCTTCACGTGCTGCTGGGAAAGTCAGCCAAACACACAGCGCCCCAGCTGAAAATGTGTCCGTGGGGTCCAGCATGGGGGCCAGGAGCCAGAGCCTACTCTGATCTTCCATCTCCACCTCTCCACTGCCTCAGGCTCTGGCTGAGGGCCACCGAGCCCCGCCCAGCTGGAACTACCAGGGGATATAGCCGGAGGCCAGCCACAAGGCATTCTCTGACCCACCCAAAGTGAGAACTGGGCTTATTTAAATCTAGGGAATGGGACTCCTTCCTTCAGCGTGCTCTCAACTGCCCTGCTGGTGCCGTTCCTCGTCCAGTGTACTTTAAGGAGAATTTGAGCGAGGCAGCCCGTGGGACTGGCCGAGCATCGGGAGACTGGGAAGCGGCGGTGGGAGACACAACACCTGGGCCCCAGACTTGACTCTGCCAGAGAAGCTCCCAGCATCACTGAGAAGCAAGTGATCGAGGTCTGGGAGCCGCCACCTGCCATCGCACCCTCCCCTCTCCCACACACACATCTGTGCCCCTCCTGTTCTCCATACTTGCCGTGGAAAATCTCGGGAGCACGTCCCCTTCCTTCAGGACACACAGGGAGCAAAGCGGAGAGTGTGGGACAGGAGAAGTCGCTGGAACTTGGGGCCCACGGTAGCAGATGCAGAGGCACAGAAGCAGCGGGCGGCAGGTCTGGGGTGTGTGCTCCCGAACCGCCTGCAATTGCACTTGCACAGCAAGTCTCCCCAGTGAATGTGGGAGAAGGAGCAGCGCGGCCTCTCAGGGACCTCTCTGATCAGTAAACTTCTGTTCCCAGCCCCGAGCCACAGGGAAAGGCACGCATGCGCACGTTCTCCCACATGCACACGTACTGGCGTTCAGAGAGGAAAATGTTAGAGCACCGGGTGACTCTGGGAAATGGAGTCCAGGCCAGGGCATTTCCTAGATAAACTTACTGGCCCTCTCCTAGGGCTTCAGTGCGGGGTGGGTGGAGACAGGCTGGGAACCAGAGAGCGTTTGCTTTTGTTTACATCCCTCCTTCCCTTCCTTTCCACCCCAGATCTCAAGGGTCAGCTGCTGTTCTTCCTTTCTTGAACAAAATCTTAAGAAGTGACAGCCACTGCTGCTGAGTCCCAAATCCCGGTTCCCTCACACACGCTGTTTCCCTCAGGAAAATCCCCTGCTGCTTTATTCCTGGACAGCTTCTCTCAAGTAACCCATGACAAGGATTTCAATGTAACTCTCAGCACAGGTGTACATGGCACAGTTTAACATCTAGATTTGAGAATACGATTTTTACTTGTGTCTTTTATTTGTGGTTCTTTTCAAAGCATTTTACACCACCCTCTAATTCACCAAGTACAAAAAAAAAAAAAAAAAAAAAAAAAAGAACTGGATACAGGGCTAACATTGCCAAGTATCTTCTAGGGGCCAGATTAACAGAGTAAATGCCTTACTTTGTATCAATTATACCTTGGGTTAATTCTGGAGACCATATTCTCAATTTACAAAGAGAAAGCTGAGGTGGAAAGAGATTAGAATTGAATTTGCCCATGGAAGTATGGTAAAAAAAAAAGTCTAGGTTATAGGCCAACCAACATGAAATACTGGTTTAAGAAGTCTTTCGGGACCAGCACTGTGGCATAGTGGGCTAAGCCTCCGCCTTCAGCACCGACATTCTATACGGGGGCTAGTTCAAGTCCCTGCTGCTCCACTTCCAATACAGCTTTCTGCTGTAGCCTGGGAAAGCAGCAGAAGATGGCCCAAATGCCTGGGACCCTGCATCCACATCAGAGACCCAGAATTTCCTGGCTCCTGGCTTTGGATCAGCTTAACTATGGCTATTGCAGCCATTTGGGGAGTGAACCAGTGCAGGGAAGACTTCTCTCTCTCTCTCTCTCTCTCTCTCTCTCTCTCTCTCTGCCTCTGCCTCTCTGTAACTCTGCCTTTCAAATAAAAAAAAATCTTCTTTTAAAAAAAGAAATATTTCTTTTATCTTGGAGCTCAGTTTCTAAAACCCCAGATTTCTCATCTCTAAAATAAAAAGTGAGGGAGAGGAAGAGTATCTACAATCCTAATCTTCACTGTAGAGAAACACATAGGATTATAACTTATCTAAAAAAGAAAGGAGGTTCAAAATTGCTATTGCTGTATGGTTATTTTTCTCATGCTTAATATCAAGATAGCATATAAATATTATGCATTCTTAGGTATATTTGTGGTGGTTGATTTTTAAGATTTTAAGTAGAAATGTAAATGGAAGCAGGATGACATGGAGTTCTGTTTGTGATTACTTCTGTCAATTCTAATTCATGGGATTTGAATTGCTGGATTAGGAATGCTTAAATGTATCCATTCATTTCACACTAATGTTTATTATGTCAGGTGATATTCTTTGTGTAGACTGCTTTTTCTTGCCAGATTGAAAATTCAGGGGGGCAAGAAACATGTTTGCTTTGACATTGAAACTCAGCATCTTGATAGAGTCATTCTTTTAGTTGAATGAATAAATGAGGCTATAAAAATTAAACAAATACAATTTCTGATCCCCAATAACTACCTAGTTGAAGAGACAATGAAATAGATATCTATTTGATAGCACACACAATTAGATGAATGTATAATTTGTTGCTCAGAGACAACTTTGATAATAAAAGAGACATATTCATAATGACACAGGGTTGAAATGTATAAACAGAAACCATCGAGGGCCAAGCAGGTTAAATGTTCACCCTAGCTTTGTAAGGCTTTCCATTCACTATTTAGTAAGCATTTACTGAGCATTCTTTTGTGTGGTGTGTTGAAAGAACTACCAGCCACATGATTTTCCTAGTTATTGGAGTAAGAGAACCTGAGCAATCAGAAAAATGTTTGGATGAAATAAGAGGCTTTACACAAAGGTAAGAAAAACAAAAAGCAGAGAGGTCAATTAAAAAGTATATCAAAGGTAATTTAGTAGGACCTGAACCAAGGTATGGTGGTAGTGGGAATGAAGAAGAGGCAACAGATTACAGGGAGATCCAAAAGGCAGAAACAACAGGATTTCAATGGTAGATGAAGGCAGGAGGGAACTCATGTGTAAATCTTCATTTGGGTTTTATTATTTAATGGACAAGGAGTTCTCAGTACATTCATGTTCATCAGTAATTAAAGGCTACCTCCAACTGACATAAACTTCCCCTAAATCCAGCACACAATCTCATGGGTAGCTACTATCTATAAGCCTTATGTTGATCATCAAGCCAAATATTTTTAACTGCTACAATCTACAATGGTCCTCATTATGATGCAGTTACTTAGAAACTAGAAGACATAATCCATTTCTATAAGAAAGGTCTAAATAAAAAAGTAAAATTCAGGGGCTGGCACTGTGGCACAGCAGGTTAACACCCTAGCCTGAAGTGCCAGCATCCCATATGGGCCCCTGTTCAAGACCTGGCTGCTCCACTTTCAATCCAGCTCTCTGCTATGGCCTGGGAAAGCAGTAGAGGATACTTGGTCCCCTGCACCCACATGGGTGACCTGGAGGAAGCTCCTGGCTGCTGGCTTTGAATCAGCACACTTCTGGCCATTGTGGCCAATTGGAGAGTGAACCATCAGATAGAAGACCTCTCTCTCTCTCTCTCTCTGCCTCCCCTCTCTCTGTGTAACTCTGATTTTGAAATAAATAAGCAAATAAATATTTTTAAAAAGGAGTAGTAATGCTCAATATTTATAAAAAGGCCAGCGCCGTGGCTCAATAGGCTAATCCTCCAACTTGCAGCACCGGCACACCGGATTCTAGTCCCGGTCGGGACGCCAGATTCTGTCCCAGTTGCCCCTCTTCCAGGCCAGCTCTCTGCTGTGGCCTGGGAGTGCAGTGGAGGATGGCCCAAGTGCTTGGGCCCTGCACTCCATGGGAGACCAGGAGAAGCACGTGGCTCCTGCCTTCGGATCAGCGTGGTGCGCGGGTCGCAGCACACTGGCCGCGGTGGCCATGGGAGGGTTTAACCAATGGTAAAAGGAAGACCTTTCTATCTCTCTCTCTCACTGTTCACTCTGCCTGTCAAAAAAAAAAATTTATAAAAAAAGTTAAGTTAAAAAACCCACAAAATCATATATTTCAAAGCTAAATTTGGAATACCTCACTAATTCACAATTTATAGATTCATCAACCTTAGGTAACTAAAGCACAATTAAGCAGGAAAGAAGTAAAAAAAAATTCCTTGGGAAGGGGCCAGGACTATGGCATTGTGGGTAAAGCTGCCACCTGCAGTGTGGCATCCCATATGGGCATTGGTTCAAGTCCTGGCTGCTCCACTTCTGATCCAGCTCTCTGCTATGGCCTGGGAAAGCAGTAGAAGATGACCCAAGGCCTTGGGCCCCTGCACCCATGTGGGACACCTGAAGAGGCTCCTGGCTCCTGGCTTCAGATTGACACAGCTCCGACCATAGCAGCCAATTGGGAATGAACCAACGGATGGAGGACCTTTCCCTCTCTTTCTTCCTCTCCTTCTCTTTCTGTGTAACTATTTCAAATAAATAAATAAATCTTAAAAAAAAAAAACAATTTCCTGGAATAGCCAAAATGCACATTATAAAGTCCAAGTAAGGTGTCTAGCCACTGGCTCTCCATATCATGACTCATAAAAACTCACTGTCCTGGCTATTCTGATATGAGTGGATGGACACAAAGCAGAAAAGAAAGCATTAGGTTTGAGCAGTGAATAAATGGAAAGGGCTCCAACAACAATGCTGCAGAGCTCTGTGGCTCCTAACTGAATGGGATATGCAGGCAGGCATCTCTTTAATTTCTGCCATGCTCTCAGTTGTCATAGGACCATAGAACTGAGCACAACAATCAGAGCTTTCAAGGCCAACATCCACAATTCACTTAGTGATAGTGGAGCTCTGTAGCTTCGCTTCATGAGTACAACTAAACCTCCACACTTGATATGTCCTCCTGTTAGGATCCACTGGAACTGGAGAGTGTATGGTGTCAGAGGGAGTAGAGGAGCATGGTGTGTGGGTCTCATGGTGGTGCTAGCTGTGCAGAGGGAGGGGTGGAGGAGGAGGAGAAGAGGAAGAGCCCCTAGCACTGTGGGAATGAGGAGCAGAGGAGGAAGGGAGACAGGGGTGACTTGTCTGCATTATGCCTGGTACTCTCCTGGGTATGACTGATGCAATACGAATAATGTGAATATCATGATTACCCTAAAGTTGATTTCAGTCCTGGTGGACAAATGACAAGGACATAGATAATTAAAAACAATGTGACAAAAGTTGTGGGTGCAGAATACAATCACCTACATCATTTGTGGATGCCATGCCCATCAGGCAGGAACCACCAGATTAAGGTCAGATCTCAGGGCTGGCATTGTGGTGTAGAGGGTAAAGCTACCCCCAACAGTGCCAGCATCCCATATGGGCACTGGTTCAATTCCCAGCTGCTCCACTTCTGATCCAGAACTCTGCGGTGGACTGGGAAAGCAGATGGCACAAGCCCTTGGGCCCCTGCACCCTCATGGGAAGACCTGGAGGAATCTCCTGGCTCCTGGGTTCTGAGCAGTGCAGCTCCAGCTATTGCAGCCACCAACTGTGAAGTGAACCAGTGTATGGAAGACCTCTTCTCTCTCTGCCTCTCCTTCTATCTCTGTGTAACTCTGACTTTCAAATAAATAAATAAATCTTTTTTTAAAAAAGAGTCAGATCTCAGAGGTAGCAGAGCCCAGAAATGACACCATGGTATGAAATGAAAATAGGCAGATGGTAGGTAGAAGCTTGGTAACTAAAGCTGGGATCAGCACATGGATCTTGACTGGCAGGCTGTCAAACCAATCATCAACTTGGACTAGGCTGGGATCTCCCAACTTC